CGGGCGCGCAGGCCGCAAGGCCCGAGCGCGGCTCTACGGGCCGAGGAGGCACATATACGTGTATACATGCGTATATCTGTAGGGGATCTAATAAACGACATGTTCTGGTGCCCATTTTCTGTTTAAAAACGGGCTCTGTGTTTTAAGGCACTTCTAAAATACCACATGTGAGGCCCTTAAAGAGCACCGGCGGCTGCAGGAGATTTTGCCCCAAAATACGGGCCCAGGCTGCGGCGTAATTCATTAAACACGTTCATTAAACTCTCGGGAACTGTATGGGCTCGTCGGGTTTTATTTACCCCAATTTAAGCAAGTGAGCAAATTGTTTATTTACCCCAATTGGTGGTTATTTACCCAAAGTAAGTTTTATTGCTCACTTGGAGCCGTGGGTTAAGAAGACAGCTCCAAAGCTGCTCTGCTCCCGGAGGGACGGCGGGAATGGGGCCGCCGGCCCGTGGAGATTCACGTTTAATCCCCCCCTGTGCTCGGCTGCATCCTGTGTGTGTTCTCCAACGTATATAAGGAACTTTTCCTGAACAGGCAGCAAATAAAGAAAAGGGAAAGAAGAAGAAGAAAAAACCTATTTACCCATTAGGGAGCCGGGTTTCCTCCAGTGGTGTTTAACAAAACAATTACCTCTCCCCCCAAACGAGCTTCCTGCACTGCTGATAGAGAGCTGCTTGCGGCCTTCTTCTTTTCTCCTCCCTGGCCGAATGGTTAAATGCAGCTTTTCCTTTTGCTGATCTGCTGCTCCGGACAAGATGTTTCGTTCTCCAGGAGCATTAAGGCCTCCGGGAAGGTCTCCCAGCTCCTGGGGTCTCCCAAAGGCTGCGGTTTTGTGCAAACGCTCCTTTATCGGCCACTCTTTACCCTTCCTGTGCAATTCTGCACCCCACCTGGGTGCTTGGCCTCCACGTGGGAGCGTGGCCTGGCCCCGTGTGCTCCCAGGGGGATGTTTTCCAGCACACGCTGATTCCTGTTCTGCATTTTGTACCGCACACCACGTGGCTCTTCTGGTCGGGCAAGTTAAGGAATGTGCTTTAATGCAGCATCTTTGTCCCAGCCTTACGTGGCGCGTTAAGTGCTTTTACATAAGGCATTATGCGGGCTTAGGGAGCACGCCCCGTTTGCATTGCAGTCCTCAGAGGAAGAACGGAAAAGGTTATTTCCATAACCTTTATTTTAATACCAGATTTGTCTGGTAGCAGCGGATGCAGAACTGCTTGTGCGAGTCTCGAACCAAACCGGAGAACGAAGGCACCTTCCTTGTGGAAGGAACGACGGATGTGCCGCGCGTGTCAGCACACGTGTATTTTCACTTAAGAAACTCCGAGGTATGAAGCATTAGCAGGAAGAACTGACATTTTGGCCCGTTTCACCAGGTGGTTGCGCCAGCTTCGGTTGCAGTCTCACGCCGAAGGCGCTGGGGGTGTTATGTGGCGTTGCTTTGTGCCTGCTCCGTGTTTTCTGGTGCTGCCGGAGCACCATAACCTGCTGCCCGGGCTTGGCACCCACCTGAGAGGAAAGCATAGGGAGGGCTGAGGTGTTTTCAGGCCCTCCAGGGCTCTCAGGGCTGCTTCGTCCCAGAGTTTTGCTGATGCTGCTTCACGCTGAGCGCTGCTGGTAGCCCCTGTGCTGTGACAGGCCGGACAACCATGTGGATCAGACCCTCCCTCCAGACTGAGCTGACTCCAGGCTGAGCATCGCCCCAAACAGAGCCGGTTACCACCAGACATTTACCCCGTGAAGGAGCAGGGCAGTGCGACGAGACACAGGCCGGTTCAAAACGCTTTTCCAAGGTTCATTTTTTAGCAGGAACATGAGCGGACGCGCCTTACTCCCGTGCCACCTCGCTTATGTGAAGGGAGCTCAGCTCTGCAGCTGTGTGCACTGTTCACACTGGGAAAGAAGGAGGATGGCTGGATCCCCTTCCCGGCCCTTCCCACACGGCAGGGCAGACTCGGGACTGCTCGGCACCACCACGCAGGCAGCACATGGAGCACCTCCAGGAAGCCCTCAGGAATCTCCTGAGGCTGCGGTGGCTGCTGCAATTCGGGGTCCATGGCAAGAAGGAGCAGCCTGGGGGCAGCTAGAAGTGCTGGGACACATGTTCAAGGGCCTGGATCATCGCCTGCATCCATGCTCCGAGGGGGATAGTGTATTCAAGTTCAGCAAGACCTTGCCAGTGTCCTGAGCTTGCTATTTCGGCCTCGGAAACCTGATGGAAACTGGCCTAATGGTCTCTTTATGAGAGGGGTTAAATAGTTCCTGCAGTTTGGAGAGCGTCTCCCAGGATGAAGGACTTCCAAGCGCCGTGCAGCGTGATGAAACAACTCGCTGGAGTCACTGCTGAAATTCCGTCATTACAAAATGATTTTCCTTCATCACAAACTCTCTGGCTCCCCTTGCTCACACAGCTGACCCGAGGCAGGACGGCGCCATCCCGGCGTGAGGATCAAGGGGACCGGGGGGACAGCGCCGGCCTCCTCCCGAGCAGCCCCCGGGGACGGCTCCAGGGCCCCGGGGATCCAGCAGAGATTTCAGGGATGCGCACGGCGAGCGGAGGCGCCGCCTTGGAAAGTGAGCCAGGCGGATCGAGGAGAATTACGAAACTGCCCCCGGCAGCTTTGCGAGCACCGCGCGTCACGCGCTGCGACCCGGGCTCTCACCTGGCGCTGTGGCCTTCGGGTGTCTCCGTGGCGCGAGCCGGGCGCCCGCCGCGGTGGCGCTCACCGTGGCCTTTGCTCCTGTGGTCTCTCCCCTCGTGGGCTCCTTCTCGCGAGCCCCCTGCTCTGCGCGTCGAGCGCGGCTCCCGGGAAATGGGCAGGAATCGGCCGAAGGCGGGAAGGGCCGCGGCGGGA